AAAAATAAATAAATAAATAAATAAATAAATAAATAAATAAATAAACAACTCTACTTACTCGCCCATAACGCGGTTCTCCATGGCCACCAGGGAGTCGTAAATCTTCACAAAGTCATTCTTGCAGTCCTCCTCCAGATTTATGGTGTCAAACTGAAGCTTGATAACTTGGCCTGCGTCCGCTCGCAGCTGCCACTGGAAGAAGGTGTTGGACGTGTACGGAGTGTTGGGGAAACCAGGGGTCTGCAACTGCTCCACTTTGTTGGCTTTCAAGTGAATCGGTATCTGCATTAAAGCTAAAAGCAACAGATAAGAGTTGTAAATGGCTAAATCAATGCTAAAAGTAATAAAAAAAAGGATGGCTAAATAACTATATAATTACAATGCTAAAGTACTAAAAGTCTATTCAACACAGTAAAAGGCTTATTAGAACCAAATGTAGGCAAACAAAAAACTAAAAAGTAGCAAAAAGCTTACCTGAAAGACTAGCTAAATAGCATATACAAGTGGTGAAATGCTTGCTAGTTAAAAGTAGCAGATACAATGGTGAAAAGCTAGCTAAAAGCTAAAATTAGCAGATACAAGTGGTGAAATGCTAGGTAAAAGTAGTAGATAAAAGTAGTGAAATGCTAGCTAAAGTAGTAGATACAAGTGGTGAAATTCTAGCTAAAAGCTAAAAGTAGCAGATACAAGTGGTGAAATTCTAGCTAAAAGCTAAAAGTAGCAGATAAACGTGGTGAAAGGCTAACCAGAAGCTAAAAGTTAATGATTCAAAAGGGTCGCTGAAAGCTAAAATTTGAATAGTAGGTAAAAGCTACAAGAAAAAGGCTTGCTAAAAGGTCAAAATAGCAGAAAAGTAGGTAAAAGCGAAAAGTAGCAAAAGGCTTGCTAAAAAGTTAAAAAATAGCAGAACAGACGATAACAGCTAAAATTAGCGAAAGACTAGTTAATGTAGCAAAACGTTTACTTGAAACGAAAAAAGAACAGTATGTAGAAGCTAACAGTATCAAAATGTTTGCTAGAAGAATTAAAAATAACAGATTTGTAAGAAAAAGCTCAGCTAAACAGCAGAACAATGGTCAAAGCTAAAAGTAGCACAAGAATAAAAATAAAACACGTTTGCTGAAGCAGATTTTAAAGCTAAATTTGGTTTTGAACGAACCGAAGAGACTTCATTTTATTTCTGAGAACAAGGTAAGTAAAATCAAAACTTTTGAAAATTGTTAACGCTTCAAAAACTAAAATTCACATCGCCCGTCTCCTGAACGACAAACGTTTTGATACATGATTGACTAAAACACACAGAATGCAGAAGTAGTTCGATGATTTGTAAAAAAATGTACCAAACATATGAATAATATCAAAATGAAGACTTACTCTTCATAGATGTTGACAACATGCGGGCATCAAGAACTGAAACAGGAGACAGAAACACAGAGTTCAGATACAGGAAGTGGTTACAGCTCAACAACTACAAGAGAGATGAACAGTACCTGAGGTCGCCATCTCATCAAAACGAAGAGGGCTAACTCCAGACGCTCGCACCTTGGTGGCTAAATTTCCCACATCTTTCATAGCCTTGTCCACAGACGCCTCTTGGCCATGCGGAACAAGGAACTCGGACATGTAGTAGGCGATAACGCTGCCTTCACTGGGAACAACAGGAATTAACGTCATTAAACTGAAACAGGTGTGCTACCAACACCTGAGTCTCCCTTCATACCTGAAAGCCTGAACTGCAGAGCTGACGTAGTACTTCTTCAACTGTGGACTTTTAAAGTAGATGGATTTAAGCTGAAAAGATTCAGAACAGAACATGAGCGAGAGGGAGTTGTTTTGTTTTTGTTTTTTTAACAGGTAGAAACTTTTGACAATAATATGACTTGAGAGGCAGGTAGTCTAACCTGTGTGACCACCTGCTCCGCCAGCGACTTGAATTCAGCGGAGTAGGAGTTTTCATATTCGTCGATGAACGTCTGGTCGGTGATCTTCATGGTGCCGATGTACATCCTTTTCACCTTCTCATTTTTACGGACTGAAACCCCGCCCCCACAAAAAAAGACTGAATATAAAGCTAAAAGTAGCAAAAAATAAAGTCATCTAAAAAGGGGTCAGCATGCTAACAAGAAGCTAAAAATAATAAACGATAAATCCTAAGAACAACTGCCTATAGCTACTATAAAGCAGCAGAACGCAAAATGAAGCAAAAACTAGATATTAGATCAATTTTAGATGAAAGTTAAAAGTAGCAAAAGGAAGCAAATTGTTACCTATAAGTAATATGCTAGCTAAAAAAAGTTTCAAAAGGGTAAAAAGAGCTAAAAGCAAAGTATCAGAAGGTTAGATCGATGCTGAAGTAGTGAAAAGGTGAGGTGATGGTTAAATATAGCAAAATCCAAGCTAAAGGCAGCAATATATTAGCTAAAGCAGCAATGTTTGTAAATAAAAGTATGCAAGTTACAAAAATCATAAGTCAAATCATCCATCTCATAATGAGCAGAATGTGTGGAGAAATGGGCAAGAGTCTTAATTCAGGCTAGGCTAACGGCTAGCAAATTGTGGGGGGGGCCTATTTTTTTTAAAAATCCTTTCATGTTTATACAACAGCACTTTCTCAAAAATGACACAAAAGAGCTTTGCATTGACTATTCTTAACACGCCCAGTACAACTCAACACGGACTTTCGTTAATTAAAAGGAAGAAGAGCAACTTACAGTGGAAATGCCAGACCAGCAGTCCAGTCATCAGAGCAACAACAGCGGCAAAGATCACCACACCAATCACAGCGCCAAGTTTCCTGGGACCTTTTTTCTTCTCATATTTTTTGTTGTCTGATGCTGGCAGGAACTGCACAGTCTGATCGAACTCTTTGTCCTGAAAACCAACAGTGACATACATGGAAAATTATTATTTATCAACTACAACTAAGTACCAAGGAGCATACTGGGGAACATAGGTACCAGGAATCATACGTACTGAGTAACATAAGTATCAGGAAACAGAGGTACAAGTATCAGCTAACAACAGTGGAACATTAGAACCATGACACTTTAGTACCGGGGAACATAAATATTCTGAAACATAAGTACTGAGCTACATAAATACTGGGGAACATAGGTACCAGGGAACAAAAAATGAAGTAACAGAAGTATGGGGAACAAATATATAGGGAAACAACCGGTGAACAGTGGTACAGGGGCACATAAGCACTGGGAAACGAAAGTACTGAGGAACATCAGTACCACAGAACGTAAATATGAGGGAACATAAGAAACAGGGATCTGTGATGGACTTGCGACCTGTCCAGGGTGTACCCCGCCCCTCGCACTGTGACTGCTGGATATGGGCACCAGTGACCCACGCGACCCTGAAAAGTAAGAAGCGTGTACAGAAAATGGATGGATGGATGGATGGAAGTAACAGGGAACATAGGTTCTGAGAAACTAATGAACATTGGAATCGTGGAACAAGGGTACCAGGGAACAAAGGTGCTGGGGATAAAATAGATCAGAGAACAAGGGTACCAGGGAACAAAGGTGCTGGGGATAAAATAGATCAGAGAACAAGGGTACCAGGGAACAAAGGTGCTGGGGATAAAATAGATCAGAGAACAAGGGTACCAGGGAACAAAGGTGCTGGGGATAAAATAGATCAGAGAACAAGGGTACCAGGGAACAAAGGTGCTGGGGATAAAATAGAMCAGAGAACAAGGGTACCAGGGAATATAGGTAAAAGGGAACATATAAGTATTGGGGAACATAGTTATGAAGGAACGTATGCATCAGGGAACATAGGTACTAGGGTACGTATGTATGAAGGAGTGTATGTGTTATGGAACATTGGTACAAGGGAACTAAGTATCGGGGAACATAGGTATGAATGAACATAAGTATCAGGGAATAGGTACCGGGGAACATAAAGGAAGGGACATAAGTACCAGGAGACAAAAATACCTAAAAGCATATGTAACAGGGTACCTAAGTGCCATGGAACATAAGTAGAAGGAAACAAAAATACCAGAGAACATAAATACAGGAAAACATAAATACCAGGGAACATAAGTACAGGAAAACATGAATACCAGGGAACGTACAGCGGGTAAATTAAGTATTGAACACGTCAACATTTTTCTCAGTAAATATATTACTAGAGGTGCTAATGACATGAAATTTTCACCAGATGTCGATAACAACCCAAGTGATCCATACATTCAAAGAAATCAAACCATAAATGTCCAGAAACGAAGTTATTTGTAATAATGTGGAATGGCACAGGGAAAAAGTATTGAACACATGAAGAAAGGGAGGTGTAAAAAGGCATGGAAAGCCAAGACACCAGCTGAACTCTCTCAGTAATTAGAAAGCAAGCCTGCCCCTTGTCAGTGCAAGTTAATATCAGCTGGTTCAGTCCCAAATGATGGCCAGGTATCACAAGAACCATCTGATGATGGGTAAAAGTAAAGAGCTCTCTCAAGACCTTCACAACCTTATTGTTGCAAAGCATAATGATGGCATCGGTTACAGAAGAATGTCTAAACTTCTGAAGGTTCCAGTGAGCACTGTTGGGGCCATAATTCAGAAGTGGAAAGAACAGCATTTCACCATAAACCGACCACGACCAGGTGCTCCTCACAAGATTTCTGACAGAGGAGTGAAAAGAATTATCAGAAGAGTTGTCCAAGAGCCAAGGACCACTTGTGGAGAGCTTCAGAAAGACCTGGAATTAGCAGGTACGATTGTTTCAAAGAAAACAATAAGTAATGCACTGAACCACCATGGCCTGTATGCACGCTCACCACGCAAGACTCCACTGCTGAAGAAACAGCATGTTGAAGCTCCTTTAAAGTTTGCTGCACAACATTTAAACAAGCCTGTGTAATACTGGGAGAATATAGTCTGGTCAGATGAGACCAACATTGAACTGTTTGGATGCCAGAATACACATCATGTTTGGAGGTCAAATGGCACTGCACATCAGCCCAAAAACACCATACCAACAGTGAAGTTTGGAGGTGGGAACATCATGGTGTGGGGCTGTTTTTCAGCATATGGTACTGGCAAACTTCAAATAATTGAAGGAAGGATGAGTGGAAAAATGTACAGAGACATTCTTGATAAAAATCTGCTTCCATCTACCAGGATGATGAAGATGAAACGTGGCTGGACATTTCAGCAAGACAATGAGCCCGAACACAAAGCCAAGGAAACTCTCAGTTGGTTTCAGAGAAAGAAAKTAAAGCTGCTGGAATGGCCCAGCCAATCACCTGACCTGAATCCAACAGAAAATCTATGGAAAGAACTAAAGATCAGAGTTCATAGAAGAGGTCCACGAAACCTTCAAGATTTGAAGACTGTTTGTGTGGAAGAATGGGCCAAAATCACACCTGAGCAATGCATGCCACTAGTTTCTCCATACAGGAGGCATCTTGAAGCTGTCATTGACAACAAAGACTTTTGTACAAAGTATTACATAAATTTCAGTAAGCGTGTTCAATACTTTTCCCTGTGCCATTCCACATTATTACAAYTAACTTCATTTCTGGACATTTATGGTTTGATTTCTTTGTATGTATGGATCACTTGGGTTGTTACCAACATCTGGTGAAAATTTCATGTCATTAGCACCTCTAGTAATATATTTACTGAGAAAAATGTTGACGTGTTCAAAACTTATTTTACCCGCTGTAAATACAGAGAAACATGAATACAATGGAACATAAGTACAGGGGAACATAAATATAAGGCAACACAAGTACAAAAGTACCAGGGAAAACAAGCACTAGGGAACATAAGTACTAAGGAGCATACGTACATGTGAAAATATGTGTTGACGTATTATTCTGCATGTTTTACTCATGTCGTTGTTCCTGTAGGTCTTCATGTTTCACAGTACTCAGTTAATCCCTCGTTCGCTCAAATAAGGTGTGTCAAAACAGAGAAACATGTAAAACATGCAGGACAGGGGCTCTGAAACCCCTGACATTTTTCAGACAACAGAAAAACACTTTGACAGCCGTATGGTTTTAAACAGCACTAATTTGAAAACATTTTTTCACAGTAAAAACTGAAGTCATGCTTTTTGAAGTTGTGCGTTAACTCAAAGAGGACAGTTTCATGTCTAGGAGGGAAACTTCTCCCGTGAGTCACAGTTCTGAAGCGGTTAAACGGAGACAGGGGTGGCGAGTACAAAGGTTTCACCATGTAAGATCCAGTCAAACCTGCTGGGAGCGAACGGCAGACAGGAAACAGGTTTCTGAGTGTTCACTGTAGGAAAACTCAGAAACACCATGGCTTTACAGGCTGAACAGATGCCAGAAACATGAATGATCAAATAAACTTTCCTTTTGTAGATGATAAATAATGATGTACATTTTTAGGTTGGCATCAAAACTGGGACAATTTAACGAGGGCAACGCTTTCTGTTTCAGGATACTTGAGCTGTCTGCAAGAACAAACTACACTGTCTGCTTCCTCAAATGCAAGACTTCAGGAAATAAACATTTACATTTTTGACAGTTTATTGGAGATTTAAATTTATTCCTGTTTGAGACATTACACACACTTTTTCTAATGAACAGAAATATAGATATTACAGTCGTAAACTTAATTTTAGAGGCGTCATGGCATCCTGAAGGGCAAACCCTCCTAAATCATTTTATTTATTTTTATATTTAACGTCACGCTGTGATGCCGTGAAGTAACCAACTCAAATGAGTCAAAAGAAGAAAGAGCAAACAAGTCACAACAAGGTGAAGGAACACGCAGGAATTTAAGCCACAACGTTACAGTGGCTGCCTTCGCAAAGTCCTCAAGAGGGCTAGATGAAAATCACAACCTTAAAAAAAACATAATATTTGTTTTGATGTTTCTGGGGGTGGAACCATAGAACATCTTTTTTTTTTACTGAGAAAATAGATCCCAGGAAAAAAACTAGGTGTGTACAGTAACTTCTATTAGTTTCTCAGAAGAATATTAACACTTTCTTACCTAGAGGCGCTTTTAATCTGAAAAACACAATTCAAATCTGCAATCTGTCACAATGGGAACTACATTTGTAAACAGGGGTATAACCACATGCAGTTATGCCTAAATGCAAAAGTAATATGAGGTTCTTTCAACTGTTTTCATTTTTATTTGATAGTTAATTACAATAAAATAAATTACAGAAAAAAAACTGGCAGCAAGTGGAAAAGCTCCATCTCCAGAGGCGCCTCAAGAATGAAACCGATGATCTCAGAGTTGTATTATGATGTCACACATACACCACTTCATGCGATACTCTAGTTTAACTCACAGCAAGTTGTTCTTTATGCAACAAATGTGATAAAAACAGCTAAAGTTCAAAACAGCTAACAGAATGGGGAAGAGTTTAAAAGTGGCATGGTTAGTGGTGATGGGCCGTACTTCAGAAACTATTGAAATGTTTAAACGATAAAGTCAACGTTTGCACGCCTAAAGGCACCAAGTTGCTGCCATGTAATTGGCTGATTAGCCCTGTGTGTTAACAAGCAATTAAACAATAACATCAATGTATTCATACTGTTTTTAAAATATTCCAGCATGAGAGCTATGTTTGTTACGTAAGTCCCAAAAATCAAATAATTAAATAAATAAAAAATAAAAAACTGACATTAACTATGACTTATTACCAGATGAGAATAATAAAAAAAAAAACGGTTGGGGACAGAAAACAATAAAAATTAATAAGAATTCAATAAAACTGACAGTAGATTACAAATAAAAAGTTGGTTTGTTTAAAGTTAGGTGGAAGAAAGGTTTACAGTAAAATTAATGGTAGTTTGATTATTGAACTGAAAGTAGTTTAATAATGAATCCAATGGTGGTTAAAAATAAATTAAACAGTGGTTTACCAATTATTTTCGGTGGCAGTGTAATATATCTGATACAAATTTAACAATAAATTCGACACTAGTTTTATAG